TTTGATACAGAATTTATGGCTGTTAAAGTCTCTAATAGTGAAAGTTAGGTTTATAAGATCAATGTATGTTTGCAATACAGAAGCGGACGCTGTGTTCCTTGTTTATAATATTGTTTGATCACTCATGAAGATAGTAATGTACTTACACTTCACTTCATGTTTGTTTTCCCATTGGAATGGGGTTTTTCAGTGTAAAATGTTGTACCAGTAAGCGTTTAAAACAATAAAAGGCACTGTTTTATCTCTATATTCCTTTTTTTTTGGTATCCTTGGGAAACAAAGTAGGGACTTGAGTTAAAAATACAACATTGAATTATGACATAGCTAGTGCATATCGTGTTTTTCCTCTACTTAGCATATTAAGGTTTTGTTAGTTAATTCGTTTTTCCACAACCATGTATCTAATGCTCGATACGCTTAAGTTGTTTTTCCTCCTAGTTATATCATGCATAGCTTGTCACTTCATGTGATTTTCCTAGCGTTTGTCAAAGTACTGAATTGGCATTTAATGTGTTTTTCCTTCCGCTATATTTGCCAAAAAATAATTAAGCGACACATAAATCCTTTCATCATGCTAGCATATTTTTCTAAGTTTAATAGTAGACAGTAAATAAAAAATAAAGAAACTGTTTTTTATCTTGTCGCTCTAACTTCAAATTTTAATTTTTTATAATTTTTTTTCGGAAAATTAAAACTTTGATCGGCTCTACTATACAATTTCAAAATTGTCGCTTCAAGGGTTTTTCCTTTCCACCGTCGATATGGGTTTACTTCAATCTTTTGCACAGAGTAAATATTGAGTGAACAGAGAGATATGGCAGTGAGTGTGAACAATTTGTCTATCCCATAAAAAGAGTTGCCATCACTAGTACGTAAAATTCGAAAAATGCTAAAATATGCAATATGCTAAAGCCAATTTTTTTTTGTGCCAATTGGTTTAAAAATGTGCCAAATTTAGCATTAAAATGCCACATCGGCAACACTGTGCGCAAGTGTGGCAGGCCACGTAAACATTTGAACTCTGTCGACTTTGAACGCTTTGATGTGCGCTAAAAAACCGAGACCGCTTGGCAAAGTGCATCCTGGTGATCGAATTGCACAATTTTTCGAGAAGCCCATAGGAAGGAAGCTTCGTAAGAAGCGCTTTGTGCCAAACCCGATCGAAGGCCTTCGCTGTCCTAACTAACGGCCAACACCTCTCCCTTGGACTCTACTGCCTCCGCCTATTTATGAATTAGGTAACCCAGAAGATCACTAGCCGAGCGACCGCAATGGAAACAGTACTGACGGTCACTAATCAGCTGGTGATCCTCAAGGTTCATGAGCTGGCTGTTAATAATGGACTCCATTATTTTAGAGAAAAAGGTGATGGCGATAGGCCTATAATTGGACGGATCAGAGAGGAGTACTCTGTGAGCGTTGTGTAAACAGCACATCCTGCATGGAGCACTCACACTGCGGGATAGTCGGCGGTGTGTTCCCCCCGTCATCAAGAGTAGAGTTGGACGCAAAGAGAGAGCCCAGCAGATCGGCTTTGTCCTTTGCGGCATGGGCCAGTGAGTCGTCCTCCCTGTGCAGAGAAGGGAGAGATGGCTGACAGAAATTCCCTTGGACAGCCTTAGCGAGAGACCAGAATGCACGTGTTCCCAAAGGAAGACAAACTAGTTTCTCGCCAATTTTGCCGATGTGCTCTGACTTTGCCTTGACAATGACACTTTTGAAGGACCTGGAAGCGGAATTATACTTCTTTTTAAGAGCGCTGGTATTTTGTATTATTATTTATTTAAATATTATTAATTATTTAATATTATATTACTATTATTTTGTATCCCGCGACGTCGATGAGTGAGCCCAGGCCTGGTAGCACTCTTGCTTATGGCGTAATGCAATTTTGTAGGAGCAACCAAACCAGTGCTGGGTTCTGCCTCTGATAGGTGCCACAGATGATGGAATAAATAGTTCTATACCCTATAGCACCACATCAGCGACAGAATCAGCAACAACGCCGGGATCATCCGGCGAGAAGCAAACCCGCCACCAAGGGTAGGATGCAAAAAAAGATCGCATCCCATCCCAATCGGCTGACCTATAATGCCAAGCACGGCGGCAACCTGTAGAACGCAACCGCGATGGGAGCGTAAGTGGCACAGTACTCCGGATCAGACAATGGTCCGAGGAGCCAAGAGGGGCATCGACGGAGACCTTATATCCGTCCGGATGAGAGGTCAGCAGAACGTTCAACAGGGAAGGTAAATGATCTACCACATCTGGGATCCGCGTAGGCAAAGTAATCAGTTGTGTCAGACCTTATGCCAAAGCAAAGTCATAAACAGATCTACCCGTATGATCGGTTAAACGAGAACCAAGCCATTCAGCGTGGTGGGCGTTAATATCACCAAGCATCACGATCTCTGCGGATGGGACCTGTTGTAGCACGGAGTCTGCAGCCATTTGAACGTGCTCGATGAGGCGGTCTGTCGGCATTGCCGCTATGGGACCTATAGTCGCACCCGTAGACGCGGAGATGGTCGTCGCTGTCTACGCGCAGCCATAAGATGTACAGGCCCGAACCTTCAAAGCTGGCGAGGCGTCGAAAACAGATGTCAGTCCTCTCTGACGTACACGCAAACTCCAGCCCGGGGCACAAAGGGTTTATCATAAAGGCATTTTATGTTCTTATAGGCAGATGTCGTAGGTTTATGATGATCCTGCTTTGATGATAATTAAATAAAATTAAATAAGGAATAGGTACAATTTATTTGACTTAAATCTATAATTATAATATAATATGTAAAGCCGTACGTAACATGTATGAAAGTATGCATAATGACAATAAATCATAATATACGTTTACTACTAACAATATACTTTCAATATAAATTTCTCAATATTTTAACTCATAATGTAATGTTCGCCTACGGGATGGGCCTTTTTCAATTTAATTTCCATAAGTTAATTATGAAATATAACTATAACCAGCAACTGTTATCATTTTAAGTATAGTCAAACTCAAATTTATTATTACCTAAGATGAAATAATAATTTTCCAAACACTGAATAATAATAGAAACAATTAATATTAGTGAGAATATGAAATTAAATTATGCATATAAATAATATGGCTTAGTGCTCAGTGATTCCTCACTAACAGGTACACATTATTCATATCAACAAAATATAATAAAAACTGCTGTCAACAAATTTTATTTAAATACAAATTATTACTTTATGCATACTTATACTCAAAATAGAACTCTTGCTAGCCTTTGCTACCACTCCTTCAGTCAAAGCCAAATCAAAGTATGATGTAAAGAATCATTAATTCAATAAATTACAATCTAATTATAACGATTACAAATTTTCAATTACGTGGATGATAACATTTTGTTGACATAATACCAAACTAGTTTCACACGAGGTCACCTTTTGGAATTAAAAAGCGGTTTAGTACAACCATAGCATAAGTTATGTTGCCCATCAACAATTAGTATAGCAACCATGTATGGGCCTAAGGGTTCAATTTTTTTTTACAAATTAGTATTGATTCAGTTCTATATTGATATAACACGTCCATTTACTTTACTGTATGATTTTTCTGTTCGCATCATTACAGTAGCCGGCACGAATTTTGAGTTCCAAGCGCATGTATGAGGGACTAGTTTGCGCGGAGATATTTTACATAATAGTGTTGTTCTCTTATCAAGAAACTTTTTCGACTTCTTAAATTTATACTTCAGAGCCAAAAGTCAAGTCTCAAGAGACGTAGCAGCTACTATAAAGCTACTTTATTGTCAAGATGTATAAACTACAGAATAATACAATACAGTGTTAGGTACACAATCTGTACCTACCCTCAATTATTTTGTAAACTGGTTATTACTCAAACGAAAACCATAGTTCTTGTCGACCGTACTATAGCCAGTTTAAATTCTCCGATTCAAAAGGCCGTTATTAATTTTAAACTTTATAATTATAAACAACAAAAGAATACTATAATATCAGAATTTTACAAAAGTGAGAAGTCTTTTTTGTAAAAAAATACAATACATCAAATACACCCTTAAAAATAAATACAGGATTACTGTTTACCCTGTCTTAAATGAAATATCTCACTAATCATCTGGCTGTCAATATTAGTTTTCTTTTATACCTTAATAAAATATAGCTATTATAATCTCATGCCTAAATGCAATTTTTGTTGCCAAAATATATTATACAATCTGGCATTGCACATGAACAATGATTTCAGATGAATGTTCATTTAAAACAGGCAGAATCAAAACTCTTGGTATAGTAAAACACATAAACTTTAGTCATGCAAGTCTTTTTCCCTAGTGACTAAATTTTTAAATAAAAGCCATGTACATTACTCGTTTACGTGATTTAAAATTTATAAAAAGAACATATTTTGTTACGATTAGAAATAATCGTAAGTGAGCTGCAAGTGATATTATTTATTTATCATTCATATTTATATCTGCCATCACAACTTACCTGTTTTAAAACAAAGGTCAATAAATTGTTGTTTATCTATTTTTAGAAACAGAAATGATAATAATTTTGTCACTTCTATTCCGTTCTTTCATGATTGATGTAATATTGAAAAAATTCTATAGACAGAAACAAAAGAAGTATCATTATGTTTTTATAAAAAAGTAATTAAAATCAGAAGAATAAAATATTTGACATTAAATTTAATAAAGCACTAAATGAGTTTTCGGTTCACTAATATTGTCATGTAGTTTATGCAATGTTGCAGCTATAATGAAAAAGACTAACAGATATAATTTTTCTGGCATCTGCTTATGTATTTCATTATTATTAAATAATAATCATAAATAAAATGTGCTATCATAGTCTCAAAATTATAATATTGGTAGAGTTACACATTTTATTTCACTTAAATTTACATTATGTATACATATAACACAATATGGAATCGAGATATTTTTATTATTTCCTAATCATACTATCACAAAAACAAGTGTCGTTATCAGATTTTACATTGGGCCCTCGACGGTACTTACTTTCATTGTGAAATAATAAACAGCTCGGGTGGCCAAAAAGAATGCAACCAAGAAAGCTCCAACATACGCTACATAGACACCGCCGCCATGGGTTTTGGCCGCAGAAAGTGTTCCCAGTGTTACACCAAGAGCAATGGCCAAGAAAATGACTGCCAGCACCGCAAATATTGTCCCTCGAACACAGGCCATCCGTGAGCCTACAGATGACACTTTACGACAATGAGGACATCGCACAGGCGCATTCTTCAGATGCTGATACTGAAAACAAAATTCAAGAATTTGCAATATTAAATAATGATGGTGATCTGCTTTTCCAAAATAATATTCAAGCAAAATAAAATATTTCAAAATTCAAAGTGAAAAAAGGACTTGTTCTATTACAATTATTTCCTACGTGCGTGTTGCATGCTACGCAAGAACGGTTGAACGGTTTAGTCGAGAAAGTAATCCTATAGTATTTATTATATGATTTTTTTTAATTTGTTTTAATGCTGAAATGCGGTCAGATTTTTTTAGTTTTTATGTTTTGTTTTTTAGTATTTTTTAGATTTATTCAGAGATCATCTTCTCAATAGTCTAATGGCTTGAACGTCCAAGCGACCAAGTCAGAGTGCGGTAGTTCAAATCATACAACGCAGCCAGACTTTTTTAGTTTTAATTTTTTGTTCTATATTATTCTGGCCTGCACACAATAAAGCAAAAATAAATTGTTATAGACTGATAAAATGTTTTGTTTGCAGAGAGACTTACATTATTATGGCGCTATGCGTACAATTAAACAATACAATTTTACCGGAGAAATGTTTTATTACAGTATTCATACAGGAAATCATTATTTTCTACCGACTTCAAAAAGGAGACGGTATTCAATTCGACTGTGTTTTTTTATGTTTTACCTCATAACTTTTACTGGATGAACCGATTTCGAAGATTCTTTTTATTTGAAAGCTGGTGCTTCACATGTGGTCCCATATAAATTGATCAAGGTCTGACCAATAGTTTTGGAGTTATTCTTAATAATTTATATTGAAGTCGATTGTACAACAAAATTTTTAATTTTAAATTATGTCGATATACAATCAAACCTAATAAGTACTTAAACTGCTCGAACGATTAGGACGAAATTTATTTTCCACATTTTCATTATAATAAAAATTTTCAATTAATTCTATAATCGATATAGACAAAACAGTTTTCCTGAGCGATCTTAGGAGTAAATATGAAGTGGCACATTTCTATCGACTAGCGTCTGTACATGCGCGAATGTCTCTGCAAGCCAACTTTAGATCGGCCAAGATAGAATGCGCGTGACTGACTTTTTATTCCCTTTTCATGCTGCTCCTCATTGCCAGTCAGGGTAATTATAATCTTATTTGGGTAATTATACATTATTATGTGGTGGAACCACTCTGCAGCTGTGTTATTGCTGCAGCACAAATGGGTCAGCTTGATTGGTGAAGGACCGTGCTTGTGATAAAAGATGAATAATGAATATTTATACAAACTATAGTAGTCACGCCATTAACTTTGGAACTCTGTTAGCGCGATTTAGGCTTCGATGTGTTTCGCTTGTGGCGCGATACGAAGCTCTTTTCATGAAGGTCCCTAAGTCGTATCGGTCTGAAAAAATCGCCGGTGGTAAACGATTCTACAAAGAGGTCGTACGAGGAAGAAAACTCCATGTAAAAGACACAGTGCTGGACCGCCAAGCATCCAGATGGTGTGGATGGATGGTATCGTGAGTTTTGTCGCGATGTGCGTTCGTGAAATTTGACGGCCGGAATTAATCCGAACAATTCCTCAAAGCACTCCCCGTGGTAAATGTGATAAAAAAGGCAAAGGGATACAGCATCCCTTCGTAGCGCCAGCGAATCCAACCGCACAGAAAGAACTCGGTTATCGACTATTTGAGCCGTTCGGCGCTGGATTCGGTCAAGTAGAAAGAGCTGGCATTGGGGTGCCACGGCCCAGAGATGAAGACAGTATTCTATGTGAGGCCTAACTTGTGCCTTGTAAAATTGCAAGCGGTGTGCCGCCATGAAATACTGTCCCGCTCTGCTGAGTGCACTAAGTTTTTTAGAAGCCAATTTGGCCTTCTTTTCCAAGTGACCATGAAACTGCACGTCATTCGATATGTCGACAGCAAGGGGAGTGCCCTGAAATTGAATAAATACGACAAAGGGGTTCTTTTTAGCGGTAAACGCGTAAACCTGTGTCTTCTGAGTGGTCCCCAATCCTTTGCTTAAGTACAACACGATTTTAGATACAAGTTTGTTCCGGAGTACCGGAACATACATCCACAAACATTGACATGCAACATATCATTGATATGCAAAAAGAACAGCGTAGGTGATAACACGCAGCCTTGTGGAACATCAGCATTAACAGGCTTGTAGTCTTCTAATCGAAGTTTGCACTGTCTACTACAACCTTGATGTCCCGATCTGCAAGGATCCGATTGCTAATTTTTTGGAAAGCCCATAGGAAGGAAGTTTTGAAAGAAGCGCTTTCTGCCAAACCCGATGGAAGGCTTTCGCTATGTCCAAAACTTATGGCCAAGCATTGGAATCTTATTTCATCGCAGCTAATCGCTGATAAAGTGTTTGTGAAGCAGCAACATGAGATGAATAACACCCATATACTTATTGTTCAATCTATACAATTAATGGTAATTGTTAGTTTGTTAAAAATCTCAATCTCCGAAAGCTTTTACAATTTTTTTTAAATATATTTTTTGAAAAACAGTGTCTTCTTTTGGATGTGTGGCGGCGCTGTTGTTGCGCCACAAGCGAAACATATCGAAGCCTAAATCGCGCTAACAAACTTCCGAAGTTAAAGCAGTATATATAGAATAGCTCCGAACTACCACTCGGGGCGTTGGACGCTCCCCGGGCAGAACACCTTGCCCGGCGGGAGATCTCCTCTTTTCCTTCCACCCGACACAGATGTATAAGCAGTATTTTCATTAGTTTTCATTTCACTAGACAGAGCCAAAGCTAGCCGTGACTGGGTACAACTAGTGTTAAATAAAAACACACCTTAAATGACTTGTTTAGAATTAAAATGACAATTTTAATACATACCAGAAATGTGTCCTGGCAATGTGCACAAATCACTCTGCACATGCCAGGCAATGTTGGGACTGGTGGAGTCACCGGTGATGGTGCAAGATTTATAATCCTCTTGCAGTCAGGTCGGGGACATGCTATGCGCTGCGAGGATGACTTGCAAATCAGCAAACAATTGCAAGGACAGCGCACATACTTTTTACCTGGTGGGGCATTTCTTATAGGCTGCAAATAGATAATACAATTGTTCAAAAAAATAAAATGCCTGGTTTTGATCAAATAACATAAATTACCTAAAAGATGTGACAGATTATCCAACTGCCCCAGAAAGAGGGTTACATTTTTAGGTTCATGTTTATATAATATTTGCGTCAATAAATGTTTGCATCTTTGTGACAATCTATAGCCAAAACTTTGCAGGATTTGAAGTGCTTGTTGTTATTAGATTTTTTGCTTTTGTTTCCTACAGTGTTATGTCATAGGCTCTATTTGTATATTCAGTACAATCAGAAATTTCTACACTGCGTATAGTGTAGTTGTCCAATGTAGACTTTGGAATTATAAGGGATTTAAAACAAAATGAATGAAATATCAATAGTCAAAACTGGACGTAGTTATGCGAAAATATTCCAACCGACAAATAACTCAAAATAGAAGAAGATAAGTATAAGTTTTTTGACACCGTGCATCATTCTAGCAGAAACTTTTCGGTCCAAATTAATATTTATTTATTTAATATTTCTTACTGTATGTTTCCCGTTTCTGGGGTACTATTCTGTTAATATTTTACTCCATTTATCCTGGGGGCTCCGTAGCATATGACCCATCCATCTCCATTTCATTTGGTCTATCTTAGTGACAATATCTGTCACACCTGTTCTTACTCTTATATATGTTTCTTTGCTTATCTATTTTTCTGATTATCAGCATGTTTCTTTCCATGGATCTTTGACAGTCTTCGAGCATGTTCCTGTGCTGCGTAGAAAGTTTCGCAGCCAGCAGGTAAATAAGGCATGGGAAAATACAGATGTGAAAGGTGTTACAGCTTATTAAAGTCCACTGCTGAAAATAGGCTCTCATATTTTTTCATCAACTTTTTGCCATAATAGTCACGTTTGGCAAGCAGGTTTTCTTCTGCCGCCTCATAAGGGGGCGACACTGGAAGTTTTTAGAACTGGCCACTTGTAAACGATATAATAAAAAAATAAGTTAAAATTTTGAAAATGGAAATCTTCGCCAATATTATTGGGTATGTATTTTATTAATTTGTCATTTGTTGACGATTTGGCGGCAAATTGAAAATAGCCTGTCACGTCGGCATGAATTTAACGCGAGAAAATTTTCGTACAATGATTTTTATGACGTTCGATGTCATTTAAGTCAACAAGAAAGTTATGATAGATTATTTTATTTATGATGATTAATAACTGGTTTAATGAGTTTAAACGTAGTCGCACTAATCTCACCGATGATATGCGTGAGGGACGGCCTTCTACAGCGACGACTGAAGATAACATCAGTGCTGTGCGGCGTACGATAAACTGACAAAAGAGTGACTTATCAGCAGTTTCGGACAAGCTTAGGCATCGGTATGAGTCAAGTGCACAAATACCTCCATGAACATTTAGCTGTCAGGAAGCTTTATACCAGGTGGATAACTCAAAATTTGACAGAGGCCCAAAAACTCTGTCGTGTTGATTGGTGTCGTGAAATGATTCAAAGATTTAACGGAGGTGACTCAAATGCTGTGTTCGACATACTTACGGGTGACGAAAGCTGGGTTTATTGTTATGATCCTGAAACTAAGAGACAGTCTGCTGTCTGCGTGTTTCCTTCCGAGGATTTGCCAACTAAAGTGAAGAGAGGTCGAAGCGTGGGAAAAAAGATGGTGGCCTCGTTCTTCGGAAAGACAGGACATTACGCAAAATTGTTTTAGAGGATCGAAAAACAGTTACTGCAGAGTGGTACACTAACAATTGTTTGCCACTTGTCTTGGAAAAAGTTCAGGAGAACGACCTCGCAGTAGGATCCTTCTTCACCACGACAACGCCTCGTCACACACCACCAAGCAAACAATCGACTACTTGGCGCCGTCAGACGTGGAATTACTGGGTCACCCGCCCTATAGCTCCGACCTCGCACCTTGCGATTTTTATTTATTTCCGAAAATAAAATAAAAACTTTGAGGAAAATGTTTTATGGACGCCGAGGAAACAGTGGCTGCGTTTCAAAATGCCGTCGAACAGACCCCCTAAAACGAGTGGGCAAAATGCTTTTCTCAGTGGTTCCATCGGATGCAGCGATGTATTGATGTAAATGGACACTATTTTGAAATGATATAATAAAACTAATAACTTGCTAGTTTATTCAGTTTTTGATTTTCTAAGTGCTTTCAGTGTCACCCTCGTACAACACCCACGGAATGAAATTTATTCATTCTTATTTTAGGAGTGAAAAAAGTTAAAATGAAACGCCATAAAATATGTAAAATTAGTTTTATTCCAAACACAAAATCATTCATGCGTTCCACACTTCTATCATCTACTTTGACATTACATACATTCTCTTCTCTTTCAAATACTATATATAATATTGTTGCACGCCACTATTAATGTCTTGTACATACAACACTAGTTACACTAGCGCCCTCTAGTGTCGAGTAGCAGAACTAGGAGAGTCGAGATCCTTCCAGAAATTTCGGGACCGATATGTACTCGAACATTCTAGATGTCGCTACAGTAGAAGGTTCTGGAAACTATTTGAGGCCCTATATAAGGCCGGTATAGACCACGACCGGGGCAGTATTGAATTGGCGATACAAGAGAATACTTCGAAGCGAAATAAAGGCGAACTGTGTTTTATTATTAGTGTGATTTTAAGTTGTAATTAGTGTTGTGTAATTAAAGTGTCAATTTTGGTAATTCAATCGGCAGTTTTTAATTGTCTCGAACTCCAAGCTCGTAACAATTGGTGTCAGAAGTGGAATCAAATATGCCGATTTTACCTAAAGACGACACGGAGGGTATCCGTACCCGAAGTCAACGCCAACAGGAGACGGACCTGAGACGATTTGGTACTGCAACGCCGCAAATGTCGGAGGGCAAGCTGCTAACCACGGAGGCCGGCCCGTCAGCAGCTCCTGCATCTGCAGCACCTGACTTAGGTGCTCTGATGATGATGCTGCAGGATCAGGCTCGCCGACAGGAGGAACAGGCCCGCCGACAGGAGGAACAGGCCCGCCGACAGGAGGAACAGACGTCGGTTGGAAGAGCAGCTGCAGCGCGGTATGGAAGAGCAGATGCTCCTCAGGAAAGACCTTCACGCTACCTTCGGGAAAGAGATAAAGGAGGTGAAGGATAGGGTTGCTCAACATGACAACCGCCTGTCGGAAGCTGAAACCCGAATCGACCAAGTGAACAATCGGGTTGACAACGTAATGGTAGACATGAAGAAAACGCTGGATGACCTCAAAATTGGGGATGGAGTTACAGTTCCCGTGGTAGCTACTACACCGTCGCTACGTGGATTCAAAGTACCGCCGTTCGACGGGACTTCTTCCTGGTCGCCCTACAAAATCCAGTTCGAGGCTGTCATGAAAGCGAACGGCTAGAATAAAAGTCAGGCCATGACTGCTCTCACCCTAGGCCTACGCGACCAAGCCTTAACTGTTCTGGAAGCTCTCGGACGGTGACTTACGAGCAGCTCCTTGAGGCATTGGAGGCGAGATACGGCGATGCTCACCTGGAACGTCTTTCGTGCGCAGCTCAAAGATCGCGTGCAACGCAGTAACGAAAACCTGCAGCAATGGGCCCTTGAGGTGGAGAAGCTGGTTCGAAAAGCGTACCAGTCTGTACCTGCGCTCATTGTAGGGAACCTGGTGCAGACATTCATCGACGGCATCCGCGACCTTGAAGTCAGAGCTGCTGTGAGGCTCGGGCACCACGAGACGCTTAAGGACGCCTTGACCCATGCACTGGAGGTGGAAGCCGTGAGACAGGATCATCGTTCCTACCGCGTCAGGGAGGTTGCAGCAGTTACAGTTCGGGACCGCAATAACGGCTACCGCCCTAGGTGCTACGGCTGTGGGCAAAGGGGCCATCTTCGATCCAGCTGCCCTAAGCGAACGGTAGAAAGGGAAGGTGATCGATTTCGAGAAGGTAGTGCGGCTAACAGCACCGCCCAGCGCAGCGGGAAATCTCATGGCAACGCAGATGTATTGTCAAGAAGACTTTGCCCTAAAGATTGCAAGCATTGTACTAGGCAAGAGGGTAAAGAAGTGGTATCTGCGAGGATATTCAGGACAGACCAGCTCAGCAATGATTGGAAGGACAGCCTACAACATGCACAGCAGGAAGATTCGGACATTAAGCCGATTCTGGAATGGATGAAGGCCAGTGCTCCTAAACCCAAGTGGAGCGACGTCTCTCAGCAATGAGTTCGACCACGAAAAGCTATTGGGCCCAATGGGACAGCTTGCTGATTCAGGATGGAATCCTGTGCCGTAAATGGGAAAATGGTCGGGGAGACAGGTGTCATTTGCAAATGGTTGTCCCTAAGGCTAAAGTGCCGGATGTTCTACAGCTATACCATAGTGGTTGTTCAGGAGGCCACCTGGGAGTTAAACGAACTCTACTGAAGATCCGAGAACGGTTTTACTGGGTCCACTGTCGTGACGATGTCGAGGACTGGTGCCGCAAATGTAAAAGTTGCGCAGCTGTAAAGGGACCTCAAATTCGTAGTAGAGGCGCATTGAAATTGTACAATGTTGGTGCACCATGGGAGAGGATAGCCATTGACGTTGCGGGGCCGTTTCCGGAAAGTGAAAGTGGTAACAAGTATTTCATGGTTGTGATGGATTACTTCACTAAGTGGCCAGAAGTCTTCGCCATTCCAAATCAAGAAGCTTCAACAGTTGCAGATAAACTAGTTCATGAAGTCTTCTGTCGTTTTGGAGTACCCTTAGAGATTCACAGCGATCAAGGAAGGAATTTCGAGTCTCAAATATTCCAGGAAACTTGCAGAGTTATGGGTACTCATAAAACACGAACAACTTCTTACCACCCACAATCTGATGGAATGGTAGAACGATTTAATCAGACATTGGAAAGGTACTCCTAAGATTGTCCATGTGAATCGACTGGTGCGTTATTACGGGGTCAGTAATGCTCGGGACGAGCATGTCTTAGGAGGGGGCAGTGTTGCGCGCCACTATTAATGTCTTGTACATGGCAACACTAGTTACACTAGCGCCCTCTAGTGTCGAGTAGTAGAACTAGGAGAGTCGAGATCTTTCCAGAAATTTCGGGACCGATATGTACTCGAACATTCTAGATGTCGCTACAGTAGGTTCTGGAAACTATTTGAGGCTCTATATAAGGCCGGTATAGACCACGACCGGGGCAGTATTGAATTGGCGATACAAGAGAATACTTCGAAGCGAAATAAAGGCGAACTGTGTTTTATTATTAGTGTGATTTTAAGTTGTAATTAGTGTTGTGTAATTAAAGTGTCAATTTTGGTAATTCAATCGGCAGTTTTTAATTGTCTCGAACTCCAAGATCCTAACAATATCATATTTACTCTCTTTCAAATCTGCCAGATAACTATTTTATTATTTGTTTTTAATTTTACTTATTAATATATGTACACGCCCCTAGCTGCCCCAACCAAAGAGTGACGGGATTAGGGCCCATGAGTAATCCCATCGACGAGCAGCAGAGGGACGGGGCCAGAATATGGCCACATGGAAATTCCTAATTACACTAAATTATATGGGGGAGCATTATACTACGGCCAGTCGACCGGAAGGAATTTGGCGGAGTTCACTTACCTCGATCCAAGACGACTGGTCCCTCCGGAGTCGGTCAGGTCGCATGTAGTTGTGTAGTGCAAGGGAAAGAATGGTGATGTGGTGTGTATCTGGGTGTGACTGATGGTGATCAAACCTGGACCTTAGCCGTCGGCAGCAGCCCGAGCGTCGACACCGCTCCAATTTGAGGGGGCCTTTCGAGGTTATCCACAGTCACTTTCTTGGTTCACCACGATGACAGTCACTTAACTCTATCGTACGATTAACTAGCTTACAGAAGCCACTAACTATCGCGGGGTATAAGGTTACCGCACAAAACACGCCCGGAGTTTCTGGGTCAAAGGTCACTACCGTTTCGCGTGGCAACAGTTAGTTCTAAATACCGAGGCCGCACTAGCTTATATTGTCGAATGCACTTATGCAGGTTCTGAGTCAGACACAATAAGTCCCGGGAAGCTCTCCAGTAGGAATGCGCGTCACAAATCCTAGACCGTATATTTACGGGCCGCACCTAATTATTCCGAGTTCCCTAACAGAACGGACCGCGTGCTCACGTCAGCACCGATTATGGACGATTGCCGCTTGCTCTTGGGCGTTTTTCGCACGACCGAAAGTCAAACCGGTATCGCGCCGAGCCGAGTGACATCTCGCGTCAATCCTTGAAAGTGTTTGGCGCGAACAAATAATATTATTTGTTCGCGCCAAACAATTTCATTTCATTATAATATTATTTATAGCATTCATACTCAAAATAATTTTCCAATATTCCCAATTACCCACCATTTTAATGTAAATAACCAAAAAAGTGGTACACAATCATGCAATGATTATATTTTACAACAATAAAACCTATAATGTTCACATATAATAGTTAGGGCAAAAAAGTGTACCACTGATACACTAAATTGCTTTTTTCTCAAATTGTAGTCATTGCAGATTGGAATGTTTTCACATAACTATGTCCAACTGAGATTCTAAACAATATTGCTATAAAAAAAATATTCTTCATCAGTCTGGTTGGTGGTGTTTCACCCCCATGCTTTGGAAAGCATTTAAAGCAGTTTGTTCTGCCTGCTGATAATCCTTGTGTGCAGATGGCTAGTCTCCACTTTGAACGACCAATGTGACCGAAATTCATTCTGGAGGACATTACTATTATTATAGAAATTATTCAAATATTTTACAGATTCCATTAAATCACCAATTATTGAAGCAGTACATAATAAGTCATTGCAAGTTTGTCCAGAGACTGATCCTAAATAATTATTAAAACAAGTGATAGCCTAATGCCCAAATACTCAAATGCTGCTCAATTTTAAGATGCCGTTTAATCTCATACTATCTCTATCACTTTAAAGTCAAAGTGACTATGACATCGTGAGACTTAACGACATCTTAAAATTGAGTAGTATTTGAGTATTTGACCATAATTGTCCACCTACCCGGCTAGCATGGGCGGGGGACAAAAATTTTATCCCCCGATTATATCCACTGAAAAAAATACAGATGCATCATCACCCATCACTAAAATAGCATGTCTAGTTTCCAGTAAAAAGGGTCTCAACCATTCTCTATAAACAAAGCTATTTATCACTGATATTATTCAAGTGTGGTCTTTCCGTGGTCGAGCCAGCCCATTTGTACTACTACTATAACATAGCTGCAACATGGTTTACCAAGTATGTAAAATATACAAGAAATAAACAACAACCATAAGCAATAAGTGGATTGCTTGCGTTGATTCTGATTTCATTTGAAATTAACTATATTAGCTTATAATTAGCAAACGGTTACATATAACATTATATATATAGATATAATTATATATAACACTCACCGTTGCTTCATGACACACAGAGCATTTCACAACATGCTGTTCCCTTTTTCCAGAAATATCTATCATAGATTGGCATACGCGACATGTTACCATAGGCGTTCCTGCCTGCTGGTATGGTGGAGGTAGTTCGTCCGGTCCGATAGGAGAAATTGTACTGACATTAACTTCTTCTGTTAAACAATATAACAATATTATATGATACAAATGCATAACTCGGAATCTTGTTAGCGTTATAATCGAATGCATCGTTGCACAATATAAACATTCAATCAAGCAAAGCAATCCATTACATATTTTACTTGATGACATTGTTTGATAAAAATTATAGAGAAAATAGTTGATTCATAAGCTATCAGAAATATATTTAAGTAACTTACCATCCCTTAACAGCGGTTGATTTTCACTTTGTCCATCCCCCATCGTAGAACACGGAAATTTCAGCGACGCAATAATATGTAAATATATTTACGTGAACCAAGAATAGGAATTCTTTTGCTTTTGACGATAATTGTCATACCAGTTTATTACGAACACAGAAAAAAAAGCCAAACAGACATAGATAATACACTATCAGAGACACAAACCACAGAAAACTATTACATAGCCTAATATGAAACTATTGGTAGATAACTATACAAACTTCTTAATAGTTTGTTATTCTCTTTGTATATATTTTTTTGCGCCCAGAACCCAGATGCAATGGAAAGCACTACCCTCCGGGAAGCGAGAAAGGGAGGTGGTGAATGCTCTAAGCATACCACGACAGCCGGCTGCCATGGTTATGTGGGACTCACTGCGAAAACCTAAGTTGTTGTTGTAGTAAACAAAAGTTTTTTTTTATAGGATAAGGGTATCAAACGAGCACACAGTCCACCTGATGGTAAGTGGTTGCTGCGGCCCATAGACATCTACATCTATCCTCGTTTGCGAATCAAAATGCAGATGCGTTGTCACCCGCGAGGACTAAGATGGAATGCCTCATTTCCAGTAAAAAGGGCCTCCGGCCACCTGCACTCACCAAGCGAAACGCAGAGGTATACCTCTACTTCACGCTGGTATTCTGTGAGGTCGTGGTACCACCCCGGTTCGAGCCGGCCCATCCGTGCGACAGCAAAAGCTGCCGCGTGGCTCTACCACTGTATTTGGTATACAAGCAAAACTATTCATTTTCCCAATATTCTGTCAATATAAATTTTTATTGTGTGCGTTATAACTTTTTTACTTTGTTCATATTGATATAAAACAAAACGTGTGTGTGTATTTATATACGCACGTAAGAAGTTATATTTCTTTAGCGTAACAAAACAAAAATAACTAAAATAAAACACGTTTTATGCATTCATAAAATATTTGAATAACTACCTCGAATATAGCTATCAGTTCTCACGAAAACTTAACAATTGACGGACAATTACCAATTGAAGTTGTAAAAAATTCACTCTCATCATTTTTCTCAAACGCGCCAAAAGAAGTATAACTTCATAACTTGAGTAAGCACTTAGCACACCCAGAACATTGTTTAAAACAAGTTGCAAGTTAGCTGCCTGCGTACTTAACTCATAGTTTGACTGTGTACCTAACACAAAAAATCAGTAGCAGTGTGCATTGCGTAAGTGTACATATGCGGTGAAGCCCCGTGAAGCAGCTCAAGCGAAATTTAAGGGATAGCAATCCAAAACTAATTTAACAACCCAACTATATCCATTGTTTCATGTGATTGAAAAGTTCGTTTGTTCGACAACAGAAACCACGCAATGGATGTTGTTAAACTGTCAAATTGATATGGTTTGCCATTTTAGGTGTGTTACGTAATTAGGCTATGGATTTAATTTTTATAATTATATGAAATAAGAACAAACTCATATTAGTAAAAATATCGATATCAGCTGCCCATATTGCTGAGTTACAACCCTATAAAAGGCGGCCATTTTATGCGCCAGATTTGTTTAGGTAGTCACGCTAATTCTGTAGGTATGCCCAGTCCATATACTTCTAAGTCAGTGGTCGAATGCGTAGTGTTTCTATATAGGAATTTTGGCGGGAACTTAACCGGCGGCGGTTTGCTGCTCCTGTATTATTGTTAAAATGATGGTTTGAAGTGGACTTTGATATTTAAAAGTGGTGCAATTTTGTGTATTAAGTATCTGCGCATGTGAACTATTAGTGGAAACTGTGAAACAAGTGCTCTGATAGTGATGTGATTCTCAAAATAAGGTGCCTGTCTGCTTAGGCACCTTGAGATACCATCACTAAACGTCAGCTGTCTGCTGGCTCAAGTTGCCGTCAAAATCTCCCAAGGGCTGCACAATATGACAAATCAACATATTGTGAAGCAGTATACTATGAAGAATAATTATTATAATATAATATTGTAACTTCAGGCTCAGAAGGGCTAGATCCCACAGCTGTAAAGCCAGTTATTAAAAAGAAGAATGTTTCTATATAGTTTGTGGTCGAATGTCACCTGACTGTCAATCTGTGGTCTGTGCGTGTGCTTCTGTGATGCGAATGGATATAGGATATAAAATTTATCAAAGTGTATGGTGCGGTGTTTGCTGAATAAATGAATGTATATAATTTGAAGTTATATTCCGAGATATTAAAGAATGGCTTCAAAATTACATAGAGTTCGTTATTACAATCCGAAACCTGAACCAATTAATTGTGTCTCCTTCAGTAAAACTAATAAAACACTAGGGATAGCGAGGTTAGTTTTTCTCTATTGTTATTTTGTTATGACTAAAAAAGGGAGAGGTCTAATTTTCTACTGTCTGTTTTTAATGCATGTAATGGAATAACTCACTTCAATCAACAAGTTTTGCCGATTTCAGTGCAAGAGCATAATTTCGTATAAGTTCTTATTGAACTACCGACTAGCTTCTATATCTGTCTTCTATATTATATTTAGATATATTAAATCAAATTTTATCTACTTTAATTATTTATTTGTGAGTACAGGTAATTATATAGAATAGATTTTTAATGATAACTGATTATGTTCGCTGCATTTAACTCCTAAGTATACAAATATTATAGCATTAAATCATATATTTATTAGACATGGGCGTTATCATTGCTTTAACAACAATGTAACTACGTACATTTCTTTTAGGAAACCTGTTGCAGCAATAGGTTTCTTCTGCAACTGGTTTCTAATAGCCATCATATTAAATAAAATGTTTAAGAACTAGTAGTTATTGTTTGAATAGTTGTTACTTGGTAGCTAACTATTCTGTAATTAAAGCAATAAAAATTATAATAATATACTTGCAGGCAATAAAAGTTAAATAAACAATTCTTTACATTATGATCTACCCTACATTTCTATTTTTGACACAATGTGTTGCTTGCTTGCCTGTGTAACAGGTAGCAAAAAATTATTTGTCTCAAATATTAAGTTAATTTTTAATTTAATTACATATTTCATTATATTATAATATTAATTATTTCTAATTAAGTATTATTTGTTTTTTATGATGATACTAAATTAAATATTAATTAGTTTTGACATTTACGACATTTAGTCAAATAGAATGTAACAAAAATGTTGTTAGTAAAGGTAAACTAATTGGTTTAACCTTCAGGTGTTAATTGCCTGAATTGCTCCAGTTTTTTAATAACAAATAGTTTTTCATACAAAGGAAACTGCATTTTTTAATGTATACTTCGATGGTCCCTATGTACATAAAGACGTCAAAAACCGAGGTTTAGAGGACAGTGTAATTTATGTTCCATCTGCCGTAGAAATAATTCTATGTACAAATATAAATATATTTTTTATAATGTTTTATTAACTTAGGAACTGGTATTTATATATATTTAATTTTTTTATATTTTCTTAGAAAAACTGATAGAGGACTGTTTCCAAGCTGATATTAAAATGAAAGCATGTCAGACATGTCTATGATACCTTTATATATGCAGGAAAAAATAAAACTGTGTCTAAAATAGAATTTAAATTAAATGTTTTATGAAAACAGAATAATGTTATTGTTTTCTAAAGGATATGGTAAAAATAATAACATTGCCACCCATGGATATAAAAAATATGTCAATGAAGACATATCACTTTATATGTGGTTTCATTAAATCAAGGTAGTACTATATTTCTTGCAATGTAAACAAAGACATATCTTTAAGTAAAATTATCAGGATTGTGTTTTATTAATTAAACAAGATATTATAATCGAAAATTATTTATTGTTAAGTAACAATCTTCTTAGCATCTAAACAATAGGTACTTGTTGTTTCATTGCAATAGGAATTAAACATGAAAAATTACAGTTGTTTAAAGGTGCGTTTAAACGATGCGGGGTAGCATGATCCTACACGAGCCGAGCTGTCCGTGGAGATGCAGCTCGGCTAGATACAAATGCAAGCCTGCTTGTTTAAACGACGCGGGGTTGCACAATTCTACGTGAGCCGAGCCGCCATAAGAATGTCGTTTAATTCTACCACTGATATAAGTCCCTCACAGAACTAAGTTTTTATTCTTGTCCAAGGATTGTGCACATTGTTGTGATTTTTGTGACCTGGATCTTTTGGGTTCCATATCGCTGGTTCCTCTTCATGCAGTTCAATGAAGAGTTGAACTTCGTTTTCATTGCTTCCACTCCATCTCGTACAAACCCAATTCTTCAAATTAAAAACGTCGCTAAAACAAAATGGGTCTTCGTCGCGCGCTCTGTACGATTTGTTTAGACGGCGTGTATTAACATAAGCCGAGCCGAAGATGGCGCGCGCGCCTTTGATCCGTGTCGACAAGTGATGGATCGTGTGAACTTTGCCGACCTACACCGAGCGTAGTTGTTTAAACAGCGCGTAGTGCGCTGAATCACGAGCGGCGCCAGGCTTGGCTCGCGTGATTGCGCGCCGTTTCCTCGCGGCTTCAGATTAATCCTTAACAATTTTTATTTAGCAAGTTTTATTTTTGTAATTGGCAAAATACGTGCTTAGATGTGGAGTTGCAGAAAACAGCCCGTCGTAAACTAAACTAACTAAACTAAAATCAGAAGGATACAATTGAGCGTCAATTTTATCAACTCTTTTAATTCCCTGGCCAGTTTTTTGTTATCCATGTGTGACTTATGCTTCAGTTTATCATCATTGGTTGTCGAGGTTTTGTTTTTCATTTTGTGACAGGTCTCATTGGTCTTTTTTAGATATGTGAAAAGCTATATTAAGTTCTTTGTTAACAATATCTTTGTATTCTTTTACAGAAGTAGCTATATTTTAACTCTTTACACCATACAGTATACAGGTCGTACATTTTTTTAAAGTCATTTCACCGTCTGGAAACAGTTTATTTGAGTCTATTAGTTTGATTTGTAAATGAAGTTAAATACATAATATTAAAAAAATCTTATATAGGTGCCACAGAAACACATAAAACATTATAGGTTATACAAACAACAAGTTATAGGTATGTACGTAAGGTATGTTGACTTGTGTTTAGGAATATTTGTTTTTTTTCTTACTGAATTTGCCAACAAAGGTAATAGTTTTTCTTCACAGTAAACTTGTGAACATGTTTCTCTTTTATTGAAAGACTAGCTGTGTCCCGCTACTTAGCCCACGTGGAATTTATTACGATTAGATTTTATGGGTTTTCATTTTTTTTTGCGCGGAACCATAAGAATTGTTTTTCTAAAATGAAGGTAGCCTAAGTTACTCCTTATAACATTAGCTCTCTGCAAGTAAACATCCCGTCAAAATCGGTCCAGCCGTTTCGGAGATTAGCCAGAACAAACAGATAGACAAAATTTTTAAAAATTGTGTTTTTGTTTTGTTGTAAAAAGCTGTGAAACTTCAATTTTATTACAAACAGACATTTCAATTTTATTTGTATAGATTGTATATATATTCAGTAGCAGCGCTAAACCCTGGCATAGTTATGAACCTCTGTTTTGATAAAACAAAAATATATTGTGTCAATATAACCTCAATCAGTCCAGTCCTACAGATCTCATAATTCACAACTTTCTAAATATCTTTATATACAGGGTATTTTTGGAACGCTCCCGAAAACTAAGACAGGCGACAGCACCAAGTATACCTATGATCATGGGTCATAAATAAATTTGATCCTGATGAAAAAAAAACATATTTTTACAACGTTTTATTAGCTTTATTCACGCGCCATCATGTTAGTACAGCTAAATGAAACGATAATTTTATAAAAAAAATCATGAAAATACTGAAACATAAAACCAGCAGTGGAAACTGAATTGATATCACCTGACTAATGGAGGTTAATGTACGCGCGAACGGTGAAAAAAGAACGCTGGCCTTGAACTTGGGCACTGAGCGATTTATCACATATTGGCCAGTATTACTGAGCCTGCATGCTATTGGTTCCCGCGCTTTGTTCGCTCCAAAAATACAGTCGCATACACAGCTTACTTTGCGACTCGCGACGATGTTTTAAAAAGGAAGGAAAAAAAATTATTTATATCTATTGTTTTATGACTAAACTAGTGAACGAAAAGGTAAATATGATAGGAGAAGGTGAATGGGGAAAATTGTGCAGTAAAGTTAAAATTGTTGAGGAAGAATACCGAAAAAATTACCATGTGATCGACCTGATGACGGAAGCTCAAGCGAAGATGAAAGTGATGATGAAGTAGCATCCAGTAACACCAACACACCATCAACATCTGGCTTCCATGTGACCCAAGACGTCATAATGGACGGCGTGTCACCCTTAGCTTAAGTTTTTTTGTTACAAACTACTTTATATTTTACGATAGAAATAACAAACAATGCTCAAGTAAACATTATCTATTTTTAATTCCCACCTCTTCCAAAGTTCTAAGTAGCTAGTAAAACACCTATTATGATTCTACAATAAAACAATTAATTACTATAATATTATAAAACAATAGCCCAATACCATGTAGTACTTTAGAACGCGACTGTACCCACACTCACTCCGCTGTCGACCTATTCCCTGTCGCCTCACGCTTGTTGTGACGCAGTTGTGTTTTTGAGACAGTTCCGTGTTGATTTTGTACACGCGTGCGCGAGCGACAGTTCAATCGTTTTGTTTAATAAATTTACTTGTGATTACGTGTTGATATTAAAGTTTTTGTTACGTTTTTGGATTCTTTTTTGTTTAAATAATGCCTAACGCGTACGTTTATAGTGGTCAACATGTTAGGTATCCGAACCTAGGTACACGAAGTATCGCTAAATAAATTGTTAAGACGTCGAGATGGAACAAGTGTGTCATACTGTGCAGTGCACAAAGTGTAACCAATGCGCCCATACAAATTGCACAAGAGTTTTCTGCCGTTGGTTATTATACCAGCAACAACGTGTGCCTGGTTCCATTGAGCACATTATCTGGACGGATGAGTCGACATTTACCAGAAACGGCCTGTGGAACCGAAGAAATACACACGTGTATTCAGAGGTTAACCCGCACGCTGTTCGACAAACCGGGCACCAAACCCGATGGTCGGTTAACGTATGGGCAGGTTTATTTAAGGATCGCATACTCGGACCAGTGTTTCTGCCAGAGCGACTGAACGGACAGCGATACCTAAACTTTATAAATGAACAGTTGGTTGACATTTTAAACGACCTATCGTTGGCTGAATATCGCCGCACATAGTTCCAACATGATGGTGCCCCTCCACATTTCGTGAGGTTCGTCCGTGAGCGCCTCAATGAGCTATTTGATGATCGCTGGATCGGCAGACTAGG